GGGGGGCCCGGCCCGACGCCCGCCGCAGCGGGGAGAGGGGCGAGCCGGGGGGCGAGGGAGGGGCAGCGCTGGGGGAGGGCGCCTGAAGACCCCCGGGCTCTGTCTTCCAGCCTGGGGCGCCTTCGCGTCCGGGCTTACAGGGGACCTTGGGGGGAACCCAAAGCCTGTGCTGCGTGGTGGTGCGAGCCCGCTGCCAAGCAAAGCTCCCCGGGGCCCAAAATCGGTCTTTTATTTTTATTTTTTTTTTATTCTGGACGTGTGCCGTACCCAAACTGTGTGAGCCGCGACCCCGGGATGGGAGCAGCCGGCCTGCCCCGAGGATCGGCTCCCCCCCGCCCCACCCGTCTGCCGCGCAGCCTTCCCGGGCGGGCAGGCGGGCGGCTGGGATTTCCAGCCGTTTCTTTGCTCTCCATCCCTCCTCGGCGTTCCCCGGCCGGGCACAGGTGCGGGCGCCCGGGGGGAGAGCCCCGGTGCTCCTCCAGAGGGGCCGCCGGGAGGGAGCAGGGACCCCGGGGAGCAGGGCCCCGTGCCCCGAAGCAGCGGCCCCACCGAAAAGCCAGGCCCTGGGACAGGGGGACATTTTGTTAAGCCGAGGAGGACTGCGTTGGCAACGCACCCGCAGCCAGAGCCTTTGCACCTAACTCGGAGAAAATGGAAGAAAGGGCAGAGAGAAGCGGCTGAGCCCTGAGCTGGATGCAGGCTCAAGGGCTGTCTGTCTGTCTGTCTGTCCTCCAGAGTCCTAGGCCACGTCTACAGGTTGAGCTGCCTGCTCAGCTCTCCTGCCCCAGACGAAATTTAAGGCCCCAGGGGGGTGACCCCTCCTCGGCCACCGCCGAAGCTGCTGCCTGTTCCAGTTGGGAGCAGGGCAGGGAACAGCTGGGAGCAGGATCGCACCCAGCAAATAAAATAGTCACAGCAACAAACTGCGTTGGCCCTGGTGACTTCCGTTTAACACCCTCTCTCCAAACACAGCCTTTCATTTCCAACAGGAATTGTAACACAAATATTTATTTCTCCAGCCCAACTCATGCTTTTAAAAGGGAAACTATGCGGCATCATCTGGAGCCGGTGGAAAGCTACAGTTGCTTCCCTCTTGCTCTCCACCATCGATCAGAGCGAGCAGCTGAAGGCAGCCCCTCGTCAGCTGTATTTTCCCTCCCTTCCCTTGGCTGGAGGACCTTGGAAGGCTGCTGTAGGGCAGCAGGGCGGCGGTAACCTGAGCTGCAGCTTTCTCTGCCCTGAGGGATGCACAAATCTTACATCCAGCTGCCCACCTCCGGGTTTAATTGCCTGACGGAAGGAAAACTACGCTGATGGGAGGCTGGATGCGGTCTCCCGGCCGGGGCTCTCCCTGCGGTCCTTTGCCAGCTGGGGAGGCTGAAGCACAGGGGGAACCCACAGCTGGGGCAGCCCAGAGCCTTTGAGGGACGGGGAGGTCAAGGCAGTCCAGGTGTTTGTCCTCTTCCCCCTGGCCACTTGCTTCATATGCTTTAAAAAAAAAAAAAAAAAAAAAAAAGCAGCCATGTGAAAAAGCCTGCAGCACGCTCGGCCCCATCTGAATGTTGTGGAGCTGGGGTGCCGCTTCCTCCCCTCCTGGGGAGGGGGAGCGGAGGCCAGCCCCCTCCCACAGCCAGCTCTGGCCGCGGTTAGGACAGCTCCTGCTGCCCGCTGGTATAATCAATAGCGGCTGCACAGTCAGATGATTGCACGCAGCCCACATGCTTGGCACAGAAACAAGCGTTTTTCTGGGAAAAATGGGGGGTGCGAGGGCAGGATACAAGTGGCCCCGCTATCTGTGGGCAGCCATCCCTGCTCTCAGTATCTCCTCCTGGATACAGGCCCTCCTCCGGGGGTATTTTCATAGACAGCCGGGAGGAGACTCCGCAGTGCCGTGTTTAGCCTGATATTTTATCTCCCCCCTCCACAGCGAGAGCGGTCCAGCTCCGGCCTTTTAATCTCCCTTTGGAAAACAACCTGGGTACGGTGAGTACAATTGTTTCATCCCCGCTAAAACCGGGGAAAGGCAGCAGCCGGTGCTCGCAGAGCGGGCTTGGGCTGGGTAACAGGGGCAGCCGCGGGGAGGGACTGAAGCACCTCAGTATGCGGAGGAGAATCAAACCCCTTCAAGCATTTCCTCTGCTCCAGTTAGCGCTGCAACTGATTTTTCAATCCCTATTTGGGAGGCACAGCACGCATCCACCCTTAGGTAGCAGGAAGACGCTCAAGAATTTGTCTTTCTGAGAAACCTTTTATTTGGCACAATCAATGCTAGCGTTTTTCAGAGTGAAACCATTCCTTCCTCCCCCTACTGAGAAAAGCCTCGAGTACAGGCTTCTGCCGCGCTCATGCCGCACAAAGCTGTGCTCGGAGGCAGGGCCCGCTGTGATGCAAGGAAATTTAGTTTTTCTCAGCAACATGTGGGTGTGGAAAGCCCAGCCTTTGGCTTTACAGCAGCCTGCTGCAAACTTTTTGTTACTAGAAGCGGACTGACCACAAAACTGTCATTGAGAAGGCCTCGGTAAACAGCTGGATCAAAGGCTGAAATGCCCCGATTTCTGGGGCTGGGGCTGCCGTCGGGGCTGGGGTTATGAGCAGCAGCTGCACCTCAGGGGTCTGAGTACTGTTCCTACGCTGGAGCTTTGCCAGAGGCTTTAACAGAAGCAGGGTCAGGAGCTGAACCGGGAACCCTGCAGTGTGGGGACAGACTGTTTCATTTCCCAACGCACGACTGCCTTAGCAAAGAACCGGACAATCCTGTTAAGGCCTCACAGAAGCCCTGACAAAAAGAAAACTCAAAACAAAAAAAAAAATCCAGCGGCACTTGGAGCAAGATATTCCACTTCCGTGCCCTTTAAACAAAACAATCCTATCGTTACCTTTGCCCCCCTCTCAGGGAGCGTGAGTGACAGTGAGAAGCAGGGAACCTTTTGCTTTCTCCTTACCCAACCTGTCTGTCCCAGCAGCCTAATTCTCCATCTGGCTCGCTGCTTCATCCTGGCCCTCCGGAGAGTTTGCTGGCTGAGGGGTAGACAAGTGTTCCAGCTCGTAATGTCCGTTCCTCACAGCCGCTGCACTGCTCGGGTGACCCTTTTCCGCTGCCAGCTTTTTACTCTTCTTGCTCTCAATGATCTGCTGGAGCTGACGCCCAGCATAGTCTGGTTTGGCAGTGAGCGCAGTGGCGGGCACGGCGAGCCCGAGGATTTCGGGTACCATGTAGGGCCGGAGCCAGCCCACCAGCGGGGTGCTGCCCGGGGTGTAGTGGGTTTGCTTGTGATAGAAGAGAAGTCCATCAACCTGTAAAAAGGAGAGAGAGTGAATGAAAGGCCAGGGCTGGAGGCTTTTGCAGGTGGATGACAGAGTGCCAGACAACAGCACTGCTCTCCATTTACAGGCCAAAACTACCAGCTGGATCATTTTTCCTCAAGCAGTGCAATAAATAGCGGAAGGGAAAGAAGAAACCTGCAGAGCTTCTGTCCTGAGAGATCAGTGCAAGCCCAGCAACTGCCAGATGGCTTTAAATCGTCAAAGGCAAACAATTTCAGCCTGATGTCGGCATGGACCAGCACTTTTCCTCTGGTTGCTATGATCCCATTCTGCAGAAAAGCCATCAGGTTTCTGAATAAGGCAGCGCATGGAAAGGCCACTTTACCGGATTAAGGTTATTTTAAATCATACATTTGGAGAGTAATTAGTCAGAGCGCATGACGCCAAGGAGCCCTGATTCGTAACGCTGTTACAGCTCTTTCAGCTGGCTTATGCAAAATAAATTCTTCATGTCTCCCAAGAGAGAACTTCTCCAGCAATCAATGACAGTTAAGGGCACTCAGGACTTTGAAGGTTTAGGCCCTAACTCTTGCGCTCCTATTTCCACACTGTGCAATACTGCAGCTGGCTGACGTTTTCCCCGCTTCCCCACCACACTACGGGATTTTCACCCCCCTCTTCCTGCGCTTCCCAGGGGTGTACTCTGCAAGGGTAGATCCTGCTGTCAGGCTGACCAACGCTGGAGGTGGTGCTCCTCTTCGCTCAGCCTCCCAAGCTCTTAAAAGGCCATTTGCCTACGAGCAAGTGTGGCTGAGTGGGCAGAAGAGATGAGAAAGAGAGCCCACCTCGCCCTGAATTGCTCCGGGGGCCCGCCCTTAGCCTACAGCCCCCAGAATATATAGGGCAGAATGGCACCTATATCAGCAGTGAGCCGAGGCATGGGTGAGCAGATCAAGGCGGTATCTGCTACCATGCTGAACTGCGAGCCAGGCTGAGCAAAGAGCAGCGTACGTCCCTCTCTGCTCCATGGATGCTAACCTCCAGCAGAGAGGGTAGAGCTTCTTGCACTACTCTGTCCATAATTTTCAGTCACTGTTAAAATCTTGCAAAATAATCCCAGAAAAAGGGGGATTCCTGTGCTAGGAAAACATAAAAACAGAACAGTAAACATCATGATGAGCTTGTGTAACCCTCTGGGTATCTAAAGTGCAAAGCTTCTCCCTCCCCCTGCCTCCCGGGAAGACTTGGGAAGAGCCAGATTCTGCGGCACCCCAGCACCACGCCTGCACATCCAGCCCATTCCTGTGGGTGTGCGGCACTTGGTGAGCAACGGGGATTCTCTGGCACCCACAGGAATGCTTTGGTAAAGATCAGAGCCTGGAAAGGCTTCTGCCTTCCAGACCGCTCCAAAGATCTTCCCCGAGCTGGAGAATTCAAAGGAGTTCAGCCTGGTGGAGAGCTAGGTTATGTTCTTCCTTCTCCTGGTTTCTCTTAAGTTACTGCAATTCCCATATTCCTTCCAGTTTAATTTGTTGGCCAGGTCCCTACCCTGAGTCACCGCACTGACACCAGCCACATCAGAATAAGGGCTGACACTGTCCCTAAACGACCAAACCTGATGAGAAACTGGCCTGGCAGGATTTCACATTTCACAGCCGTGCTTTTCAGATTTTTGGTGCTTAACAGTATGCCCATTCCTTCACACCGGAGTTTCTCAGAGACTTTGGCTCCCTGTGACTTCGTGGAAGCCTGAATGTTGTTTTACTCACATCTGTGAGCAGGACAGTAGCTCTTAAGACCCACTCCAAAAAACACTTCAAATTCAGTGCCAGTCAGCTGATCCAAAGTCCACTGAATTCAGTGGAAAAAATTTCCGCTGAATATAGCGGATCAGGTCCTAACTCTAGGGTTACAGATTAACTCTGAAGACCCAGATCTGAAAGCACTGACCACATCTGTTGCCACCACATGCACGAGATCCTTGCAAGGATGCTGGCCCAGGCATAAGGAGACCTCTATTATATTGCACTCTCTATAGCAAGGCTGTATTTTGCCTTCTGCAAAGTTTCTTTCTTTATGTGCTGTTGGTGGAAGCTATCTGCGGGGATTTCTTGGGCTCCCTCTTGTGGCACATGACGAAGAGAGCCAGCGTTCCCTTCATTCCTGGAAGCGGCACCGTGGTTTCTATGGGGTTACTTTACTGGCTGCTTTGAGCCAAATTACACCACGTTTCGCTTGTTAGGGTCGCACCCCGATGCATCGCCCAGAGAACCTGGGGGGCAAATCACAGCTGGATTACAAGGGAGAGTCTGATCAACTCCATCTCCCTCCCCTGGCATTTCGCAACAGCCTCCTTCGCAGGCTGAAACGTTTCTGCTCTGACCGCAGTGGGGCAATACTTCTCAGCCTTTTCTCCTGGGAGCAGATGCCTCAGGAAGGAATGAAGCTTTCTTCAGCAAATACGGGAATGACTGTCTCTACAGAGGCACTCAGAGCATTTGTAACTGAGCAAGTCAGCTGCAGGAAACCTGGGATGCCTTCTCAACACGCCCGGATCTGTGTTCAGAGCCGGGCCTGGCACTGACCAGCAAGGGGCTGGGACTTTCCGACTCTCTCTAGCAACTGTCCTGGCTCTGACAAGCAGAAGGCAAAGTCAGCCCTCACAGCCAAATTGGCGTCCCTTAAATTTAAACCTGCACTTACGTTAATCGCCGACTTGGGCTGGGAGAGCACAAGAGGCACAGTCAAATCAACGTGGCTTTTGGCTTAGCAGGACAAGCAACCCCTGTAGAGGCTGTTCCTGATCTAGGGCTGAGACTGGGCACTCCGCAGGAACTGCTGCAGCCACTGGAGGAGCTTCTGGCTCCCAGATGTTTGTCACTGACGCTGTGCTGGAATGCCACCACCTCCTCCATCCGCTTCCACTTCAGTGCCAAGTCAGCCAGGATAGCCACCAAAAGCAGCCCGAGCTGTTTTCACAAGGGCCTCCAACTCGCTGCTTGCAACCAGACAGCTGAACTGGGTGGCACATCGAGTTGCCTGTCCTGCCCTTCTCCCACAGGTCAGCAGAGAGGCCTGAACAGCACCTGCTTCTAAAGCTGCTGAAGCAAATGCAGGTCTCCTGTTCAGCCACTCTTGCTAGGAAGCTACCAATTCTGTACCAAAGCGAAGAGCAGAGCTCGCACTATCCCCTCCACAAGATCCAGCGGCAGCAAGAGGACGGACTCACCTGAACCTCTCCCAGCCATTTCTGCTACAGCCATCTGCCCCCAGCTCCAGTACGTCTCAGGCACCCATCGCTAACACCCAAAGCCCTCAGAAACCATCAGAAGCTTACCACCACCCTTCTCCTTCCTCCCCACAAGACGCAGGGTAGCTGGATGCCTTGCACATAGACAGATGGAAGTAGCTAGACTAAGGAAACACAGAACCTCTGACAGAGGTCAGAGAAAGACACCACTCTGCCCACCTCGCAGACCTCTGGAGAAACACCACCACATAAGGGAGCACACTGCAGAGATCCTCATGCCTGTACCCATGCAGGCCCACCCAGGGCAGCGGGCAGTACCAGCTTTGGACCTAAAAAGGTCAGCTGTCCATCACACTGCCATGTGAACGCGAGCTATGCTGCTTCTGGAGGCAGTCTGGGTGTCCACATCAACCCTCTCTTCCCCAAGGGCTCTTTCAGACAACAGTCAACAGCAGCAAAGGCAGCTCAAACACAGGGAATGCTACGGTTTAACTCTTGCTAATTAGTTTGGTTGGACGCAGCCTGTACCTGGTGACAGGGTAACAGATCAGCCACGTGCATAAAAGGCATCCATCCCCCATACACCGAAACAACAGTGCAGCTCAGCAAGCTTCCCGCAGGCCTCAGAAGAGCACAGTTCCCGAGCGAAGGGGATGCACCTCTCTCCAAGCACTGGCAGATGCGCAGCGGGGCTGTCTCTAAGGCTGAGGTCCAGGCCCCTGCCTGCGTGTTCTCACCTCGAAGGGGAAGTCCATAGCCAGCACCTTACACAGGCTGTCCGAGGAGCAGGGGAAGTTCTGCAGGCCCACAAATTTGTACTGAAAGAGTAAGAGAGGGTTAGAAGAGACAACTGCATGCCCTAAAGCAGAACAAGTCACTGAATCGAGCACTGGTGTGGAGGTAGCCAAGAAGGAAGGATTTCCCCCCCAGGACAAGATCCAGCATGAGAGAGACAGGGTGAGGGACAGGCATCAGACAAAGTAACCAGAGAGGAGATCTCAAGCAGGGACCACCTCATTAAACTGCTGGCCTTCCTGCCACAGGGTATCGGGGGGTCGAAAGCAAAATGGGCTCAAAAGAGGATTAGACCAGCTCCTGAAAGGCAGGTCCCCTGGTGGCCATTGACTCCATGGTCCAGGTACAACCACTGGCTGATGAAGTCAGAGGGAACACGACAGGTATCCCCAATTCCTTACTCTTTCCATAGCAACTGGTCTCGGCGATTACTACGGGTTATTGGGACAGACAGACCTCTGCTGTGATTCAGAACAGCAATTTGTAAGCAAACCCCAGATCTAGAGACAAAACAACAGGACCAAGCTGCCCATCAGTGCTGACCATATCCCACTAAAGTAACTGGAAATGCCTGCATGAAAACCTACCAAAAAAAAAAAAAAAAAAAAAAAAGGCAAAAATGATGGTAAAAGCATTAGCAATTCTGGAGAGCTTGGAAGAAGCAAGTGTTTCAAATTCTTTACAAAACTAAACGCCCTAGGCACCAGAGAGGATGGGGTGGGAAAAGTCTTTAGTGATAATCCCCGCCATCTCTCCAGCAATGCTGGATAAAGCACGTACATTGCTGCAACTTTACAAATTTCATTGCAATAACAGAAGATGACCTTTAAAAGAAGACTGGGGGATTGCCACCATGACGTCCAGACAGCGTGAAATCTAGAGTGCCCAGGAAGATCTATTTCAGGTATTTTATTGTCCCAGTTCCAAATGACCCCCTCTTTGGCATTTAACGAGAGATGTGGATGGCGGAGACTCAGCACGCAGCTCCCACATGCTCCCGATACCTTTTTTCAAAGCATCTAAGGCTGCAGGAAGGACTTCTCAGGAGAGCTGACCCTGAGATGCTCTTTTAACCAAAATAGAAAATGATGACCTCTGGGCAGGATGCAAAGCAGACAGACGTCTGCTCCAGGCTGCTGGCTCAGCCAAGCAAATCTTTCCACCCAGGAAACAGAAGCCGAAACCACCCCTCCTTCGTTAGATAGCTGTCTTCTGGATATTCCTGTTGGAGTCAGAACAGGATGTTCATCAAATACGGATACCTTCGCTGCTGGCAGAGGAGCGTTGTCATCCCCATTTATGACCGATCTGCTCAACCCACAGGAGCTGCTCTGCTTAGGCGTGTCTGCACACACACAGGGGCTGCACAGCAATCAGGTCCCGTGTTGCAAACTGTGCTCCATAAGCCAGGCTGCCAAATCTCTTATGTCTGTCCCCAAAAATCACTTTCCAAGATGCTGTGGGTTCTAGGTCTGACCTCCGCATGTAACTCTTCAAAGGAAGACTTTTTATCCTTGCTCAGCAGGGACCCCGGGTGGCAATCTGGCATCTATCTCGGCAACTTCAACGATTAGTTTAAGGGGGAGGGAAGGCTAAAGCTTTACGAGCCTTTCCCCTTGCCTTGTGAGCCCACAAGACTACGCAAGAATAAATCCCATTGTAGTCAGGCTGCTGACCAGTGCTGCCCCTGTAGAAACCACACTGGTTTTCCATTCCATTTCAACGGAAAGCTAAAAACAGCATGGAAGTTAGCTGATACCCCGCAGTCTGATCTCCCTCAGCACTTCGGCTGGGAAAAAATAAAACTCATTTACAATACTCAGTGGTTCTATTTACATCGTGAACACGGCATCCCATTTTGTCAGAAGTATATTTTGAAGTCTGATCGGGGGGGGAATCCTCCTTCTCCTCCCAGTACAAAAGAACTTACTGGATTAATCCTGCTTTTCTCTGCCAGCCCTTCCTCCTCTTGGATCTTTGAGAAAAGCCAGAAGAATCTGAAGTCGGTCTGTGAAAGGAGGCAGAGACTTAATGACTACCCACCACACATCACCAATCAGCGCCTGCTGAGCGTCTCCATTCTTCGGCACTTGTCCGGGAGATTTACAAACTTAGCTTTGCCTGCAGAACCAGCCAGCACCCCCAACTCTGCTATTTCCCCTGATACCCCCAAAAGTTGTACCCAATTATTCCAGTACCCAGCAGCCCACAAGCTGTGAAGATGCTGGTGCTTAGACAAAATAACCACTGTACTGCATAGTGGGCTATGTCCAGTGCTGGCTGCAAAGCAGCTCACAGAACAGGGAACAAAAGGGAGGGCAGGGCAGAGGGGAGAGATTCAGTACCTGGCAGTCGTAAACAGGGTGTCCTCTCCAGCACATCACATCGAGGATATAGTACGTCTGCTTTGCCTCGTTGTAGATGCAGTCCAAGATGCAGTACACTGCGCACACAAACACAGGGAGCTCCAGACACGCTCGAGAGACTGACCAACCCAACAGGCAATTGCCAGATCAAATGTCTCCTGCATTAAGCCTGCCCCAATGTAAGGCCGAGAGGTGCAGAGGGATCCCCTTCTGCTAACAGAAGCTGCGACCACAGAAAGCCTTTAGCTTGGAGTCCAACAGGGCTACAAAGGCACCAGCCAGAGGAACATCAAGCAAAGGCATGTTTCAGAAAAAGGCATTTATACTCAACAGTATGACCCTCCTCAGGGCAAGCAAAGCAACTGCAAGAGGTATTAAGAAAGATGGCACTGTACGCAGCTCTCTGTCAGAACACAGAGAAGATGTTGAGGCTTAAGAGTTTCAGTTAACCAGGCAGCTAATTAAAACATGTTCTTATTTAGCACAAAAGTATCTGAGACTGTCCATGTCTAGTTATCCCCAGAGACACAGGAATGGGCTTGAAGCTAACATCCCCCTGGCACCAGAAAAGGGCGCAGCTTCAGGATGTGGGGAGCTGGAGGAGCAGCACCGAGCCTGCTGGTGCAGACACTCACAGGGAGAAGCAGGCGGTTCCCCTCTCTCTATCCCAAAAGCCTCCTCACACCGTTACCTTTCTCATTCATTGAATTGTGCCGGTTCCCCCCCGGCAGCAGGGATGGGAACCTGTTGACGCAAAAGCCACTCTTGGTGTAAGCTGCTGTTGTGCCCTGTGAGGAAATGGGAGAGGAAAAAAAAAAAAAAAGTCAAGCAAGACACACGGGCCAGTCTTACGTTGGCTGGGAAACAGGTACAGGTCCCTTACCAAATGGTGAGACGTCACCACTGCTGCCGCTTACCCTGGATGCCACGACTAGCGCCCTTTTCCCAACGGGACACACCACTACAACCCACTCCTGCTCCAGATCCCAGGGGACATCGACCAGCCATTCAGACAGCATCAGCTACGAAGAAATCCCCCCCCCCCCAAAAAAAAAAACAGTTAGCAACAACTCTCCTGAAGTTATGGAAAACTCACAGGAAGAAGGTTTTGACTTGGCTTCTACAGCTACCCAGGGTGCTTCAGAAGCAACTTGCATTGCTCGTCACCCTACCTTACAGCACCAAAGGGGCTCCCTGCCTCTCTCTAACTCAATTGTACGACAGATTCTCCCACAAGTCTTTCTCTTGCTTCCCAGCTGCTGACTAAGCTTCAGACTACAGCCTACGGCTCACGGTCCTCTCCTGGGCACCTCTGTACCTTGGTCCCCACTCCAGCCTTTATTTATTTATAAATACATGGCAGAGCTTACAGATTCCTAAATACTAGGAATGAAGAGCCCAGACAAGTTGACCTCTTCAGAGACTATCTGGCTGTGGTCACTTGAAAGGCTGTATGTCTTTTAGGACCAATATGGCAGCCAAGGCTGATAAAACCCATCAGCTGAGGTTTCCCTTCCTTCCTGGTGTCACAGAGATGGGGAGAGATGGAAGTCTTTAACTGCCTGCTGCACAACGGGATACAAATGCTGCTAGCTGAGCTGAAATCTCCCAAAGCACACTGGCAACCCATCTCTGCCTGTCCTCCATTTCAGCATAGCATATCTCAGGGGTAGAGCCGAGGCACAGTTCCTCACTGAGCACCAAGCCTGGTAGGACACGTTATTCTCAGCCCTGACACAGCCGTTGCCATGGCTGCTCACCATGCCCAGCCTCAACCACCCCACACCCCTCGCCCTGCCCAGCCCCGCGTTCACACCCACACCCCGTTGCGGGGAGGCAGGCGGAGGCAGGCAGCTCCTCACCTGATTGGCATACCGCTTGGGCAGCTTCTTGCCAGCATCCACCTCCATCTCCTCTTCCTCCGCATCTTCCCCCTCCTTCTCCTCGCCCTCGCTCTCCACCCCTGCCCAGTCGTCCTCTGCCAGCCTCCTGGCATGGTTCACGTAGTCCAGCCGCCTCCTGCGGGGGGAGGAAACAGCCCGGCTTGCCCTCTGCGGGATGCGGGCCACCACCCCCCCGCTCCCCACACCCAGGG